AAAGTGCTGGGATTACAGGTGTGGGCCACCGCCCGCAGCCAAGTATGGGATATTTTTGACTCAGCACTAGGAAGCTAGCTCCTGAGAGCCCTGAAATCTAAGGGAACATGTCCAGCCATAGCCAATGACTGTGCCCAGGGGAGAGGAACGAACCAATTGGTTTGAGCGAATTGGGACCCAGCACTAGGGGTGAGGATGGGCTTGCCGTTGTTTGAATAGCACCGCACGTTTGGGAGATTAATATTTTGTTGGTGAGAATCTGTTTGCTGAGGTTGTTGTCTCCTAACAAGAACGGGATCCATGTTGCCAGTGGCTTGGGTCAAGAGGATGAGGTGCCTGGGACCCAGAAAAAGGCTCAGATGGGGACTACTGGTTCTTTTCCCTGTTCCATTTGGACTGCAGCCCTCACCACTGTGTGGACACAGAGCTCCTTGACTTGTCTTTTGTGGATGCCCTGGGATCCTCCCTGGATGTCCTGGCCATATTCTGGCCCCTTGACTAGATAGGATTTAGGAGGGCATCTGTGTGCTAGGGTTCTGATTCAAGTGTGACTTAGGGCTTTGTGGATGGTGAATGGGGACAGCGGGGCGGTGGAAGAGGATGGGAAACAGTGTTTCCGTGGATCTCAGAGCTGGTATAGCATGTGTGTTGTGTTGTGTAATGGGCTAGGTATGGAAATCTTACCCCAGATGCAGCCTGGTGGTTTTCTGGTTTTATTCTTGCTCTGTCAAATGCATGAGCCAGAATTACAAGTGACACATCATTCAAAGTATGGCTTCTTCCTGTCACCAGAGCCCTCAGACTACACAGACATGTTTTTCACTGTGAAATTTGCTCTGGAAATGCTCCTGATGACTGACATTGCGATAGCATTTAGAGGTCACCTTTCAATTTGCTGAAAGGGCAAAAATAAAACAGAAAATAAAAATGAAATATCCCAGGCTGCCTCTCCATCCCTTCATTTATCACATTTTTTGTTAAACACCTTCTACTGGAATGAAGTAAACTACAGTTATAAAGCTTACCTAACTTTGGAGCGCTGTGTGTTGAAAACTCTAGCTTTGCCAGGGCGGTGGCTCACGCCTGTAATCCCAGCACTTTGGGAGGCCAATGCGGGCGGATCACGAGGTAAAGAGATCGAGACCATTCTGGCCAACACGGTGAAACCCCGTCTCTACTAAATATACAAATATTAGCTGGGCGTGGTGGCACATGCCTGTAGTTCCAGCTGCTCGGGAGACTGAGGCAGGAGAATCACTTGAATCCGGGAAGTGGAAGTTGCAGTGAAGCGAGATCACGCCACTGCACTGCAGCCTGCCAGAGTGAGACTCTGTCTCAGAAAAAAAAAAAAAAAAAAAGCAATGAAAACTCCAGCTTTGCTAGCCGTAGTTGTGTGACCTTGGGCAAGTCAGCCCTCCTCCACCTCAGTTTCATCATCTGTGAAACTGGGATGACATTAGATCCCTCTTTCTGGGGTTGTTGTGAGGCTTGAGGTACTCTATGTAAAGCTCTATATGTTGTACTATGATGAGTATTATCATGAGGCAGGCTCCAGAGATCAATGCGAGCCCTACCCTCATGGAGCTCGTAATCTGGTTGGGAAGACAGATGGTGATGTTATGGGTCAAGTTTGGGAAATACTGCTATGGGATAGGTAAAAATGAAAAGAGCCTAATTTTTGAAAAGTAAGTTCCAGAAGAGCTAAGACTATGTCTTGGTTTGACAATGAATTTTGTACTTTGCCCATGACTTTGTGTTTTGTTGAGAATGATAAAACTACAACATGTACAGGGATGTAAGTCTACTCAAAAACAGTTAGCAGTGACACACATTCATTTGCATTCCCAAGGTGGGTCTCCAGGAAAGGTGCCAAATGCACCAGGCGAGTTGTTCTCCCACATTTTAAATTAATGTTTCACTGATTCAGGCTCCAGGTCTCTGATTTGTACCCAAGATGTTTCCTCTTAAATTAATGACAACCCAAATGGGTGAAAATTAATGAAAAACCCAAATAGATGTCTGTGTTAACTAGTATCACACCAACATTTCATGGAAGGCAGCAAAGTGAGCCTGGGCTCTGACATCAGACAGAAGTGGCTTAGGATCCCAGCTCTTCTGCTAGTTGCCTATGTGACCCTGGGCAGGGTGCTGAGCAGCAGTTTTTTTTTACCTATCTTTTTTGTCGTTACAAAGTTACTGGAGTTAGGCTGGGTGCAATGGCTCATGCCTGTAATCCTGGCACTTTGGAAGGCCAAGGCAGGCAGATCACTTGAGATCAGGAGTTTGAGACCAGCCTGGCCAACATGATGAAACCCTGTCTGTACTAAAAATACAAAAAGTAGCCAGGTGTGGTGGCGGGCGCCTGTAATCCCAGCTACTCAGAGGCTGAGGTAGGAGAATCACTTGAACCTGGGAGGTGGAGGTTGCAGTAAACTGAGATTGCACCACTGCGCTTCAGCCTGGGTGACAGAGCGAGACACCATCTCAAATAATAATAAAAATAATAAATTTAAAATAAATAAAGTTATTGGGGTTAAATTAAAAGATAATGTGTATTACATATTCAGTGCATAGCAGATGCTCAAGAAACAGTAGGGCATCCTACCCTCTCCTTACTTTCCCATACACATTTTTTTTACTTACCACTGTGAGTACAATGTAGAAAGAACCTGGACCTTAACAGGGAGATGTGTAATTCCTAGCTTTGTGTAGCCAGGATTTTCTACTAATGTTCATCTGTCGATACATCCATCCATCCATGACTATGAGACAGATCTATGAACTAGAAACTAGAAAGAGACTCTCCCTAAACACTGCTCTCAAGAAGCAGGAAAAAATATGTCTTGAAAAAACAAAAGAGGAAGCAGCTTACAGTCTAATCCTTATGTTTTGGTTTTTCGCACTAGGCATCAAAGTACCTCCATAGCCAATTTCCTCCTTGAGAAAGGTTACCGTGAGACAGCATTGCTGCCCAGCTGGGGTAACTGCAGGCCACTCTTAGGGCCCGCCCATTCACCCCACTGGCTGGAGTTGGGGTTGATCAGCACTCACTCAAGCTTAGTGTATAGATGGAACGAACAGAGTCCAGCCACCCCAGGAGAGTAGGGTGTACAGTGTGGCACCAGCTGGGAGGATTTCTTTATTGGGGCAGAAGATTATTGGGGATTAGGGTATCCTGTGTTGGGACCTCAGAGCTTTAATTTTCCTTTGGAAATGAAAGAGTCACAGAGCCTCAGATGATGTCTGTATCTTTCCTCACTCTTGCAAATGGGACCCTGGGAGATTCTACTTAACTTCCAGACCTCCAACCCCAAGCGCTTAGAAGGCCGCATATGAGTTGGAGTGGGACCACCTTCCCAGCTATGAAGAAGGTTGTATTTGCCCCTGTTTATGGCTGGTTTTTACCTTCAGTGGAAGTCTTGCAGATCAGCAGGTAAGCCTGACTCTGACAAACTAGCATGACCAAGGATCAGATAAAGCTCCAAGGACACAAAAGAGGCCTTTCTTCTGCAGAATCCTGCCTACCTGAGCCTTTCTCAAGGTTCTTAGCTTGGGAGGCACTGGCCAGAGAAGACAGGAGATCTGCTTTCTCACCTCTACTCTGCTAGAACCCTGGGTGACCCTCAACAAGTCACAGAGCTCAATTAACCTCACTTGGCCTTTGTTTTCTCCTGTAATGACTGGTTTTGTAATTATAATAGAGGATTACAGAAGAACTTTCAAACTGTAATATTCTATCATCGCAACCCACAAATATGGCCAGTTGTGTTATCTGTTATATTTTTGTCTTAACATTTTTCCTGCTAATAGATTGTGAAGCTCCTTGAAGGCAGGAGCCCTGCCTTATACCTCTTGGTACCTCCTAAAATATCTAGCAGAGTACATTTTAAAGATGCATGTGGTTGATTGATTACATATTGGTCTAAAGAGTTCTACACAGAAAAGATGAGTGATCACTTTTGTGAATATTCCAGAACTGAGAACCACTAGTAACCACCTTGAATGGCTGTAATTGACAGATTGAAAAACCAATCAAGGCAGTCAGCAGATTGAAAGCTGATGAATAGTGTGAAAATGAGGAGTGAAAGCAAATTGCATCTTTACCTGTAGCTCTTTCAAGTGCAATAAAGGAAAAATGAGACCGTAAGACAAAATAATTACTCATCTTCCTTCACTCTTGAAATTTGATGCTTGCCTGAGTTCACAAGCTCTTTTCCCATTTCTGCTTCAATATTATGTACAGCAGAAGGGCTTTTGGGAATTGTATCACAGCCAGTCAGTACTGAAGTCAAGCCATTCTGACCTCGGAAACACCCAAGTCTGTTAGGTCACTGGAATTTGGACTCCAATCCAGATAAAAAACGGTTTAATTTGTTGGGAGAGTGTGTGTGTGTTTATAGCCATTTTTTAGGTGCCTATCTTCTGTGCATATACATTTATGTAGTTATGTGTGACTTCACACTACAGATACTTTAGAAGTTACTACGTTATTCACACAATAAACTGAAGCTTTCATGCTTGTAAATGTGATAACAACTTTAGACTTCTAGCTCTTACTGACTGCAAGTTCTTGGGCTTGCAGTGTATAGAATTTCTCCCCAGCTGGGCTCTCAGCTCTGGGTTAACAGATTCAGTGAAACTAAAAATTCAAGTAGCACAAGAAAAAAATAATCAATGTTATTTTACTCTATTCCAGATATGGGAGTAGAGGTACCATCATTCATTAATGTGCAGCCAGAGAAGAGCCAGCCTGTATTGAGATCATCAACTATACTTTCAATAGGCATTGATAATGAGGGTGGTCAGAAGGATGTATAAGCCCAATCGCCAGTCAGAAGAAAGATTTCTCTGGTGTTTTGAGTTGGGAAATAATCCCTGTTTGGGTGTGAGGAAGGATTGGAAGTTCGGAATTAGATTTCTTATTAAGAGTCTCTTTACATTTGTGCTGTCACCTCCCTTGGCCATTGGTAACTGTGATTGGTTGTCTCTGTCTTCTATAGCTTGGAATTGCGATTGGGTTCTTGGTCCCTCCTGTTTTGGTACCCAACATCGAAGACCGGGACCAGCTTGCCTACCACATCAGCATCATGTTCTATATAATAGGAGGTGTGGCCACTCTCCTCCTCATCCTTGTCATCATTGGTAAGGTCATTAGTAGACTGATGGGACAGCAGGGGGCAAAGGGGCAGGGAGATTCTGCTGACTTCGGTGGGACCCTTGTGAACATGCCCTGAAATACCATAGATATTTACAAAAACTGTTGTCTTGGCTTCTTATGGTCTTCAAATGTTTTAGCCTGGGCAGTTGTTCCCACACAGTGCTAGCTTGTCCTGTGCACTTTGTTAGTGGCTAAGGAAAGGTTTAATTGTCATTAACCTGTTCTCCAGTCCTATCTCATTGGAAGTAATGGCTAGACTGCTAGTCCCCTTGATGAAAGCCACTGAGCACTTAGGCCATCACAGGCACTGTGCTAAGCATGCCTGATTTCATTTAGTCTTCAGCAGCCCTATCAGTGAGGTACCATTATCAGTCTTATTTAACAAAGAGAAAAATGACACTTAAGGGAGGTTATATAAACTATTCAAGATTAAATAACTAATTGGTGGCAGAGATTGGAGTCAAGTCTAAGCTTATCTATCTCCCTATTCCAAATTTCTGAAAAACAAAACTGAAATTGATCCATAAAATTAATAATCTCATAGATTAACCTGACAATACTTAGGTATCATAGTTCTTTAATGCTTTTTAAGAATTATTTTTATTTTTATGTTCTTTTTTTTAATTCTTCTCTCGCCCATGTACCAGTGCATCTTTAATGCTTTTTTAAAAAATTATAAGAGTAAGCCAGGTGCAGTGTCTCATGCCTGTAATCCCAGCACTTTGGGAGGCCGAGGCAGGTGGATCACGAGGTCAGGAGTTCAAGACCAGCCTGGCCAAGATAGTGAAACCCCGTCTCTTTTAAAAAATAAAAAATTATAAGACTAATATATGCTCATTATAGAAAAATCTAGAAAATACAAAAAAGCATAGAGAAAGGAATGACCATTAACTTGTCATCGTATAGGTTAATCCCAACTGTGAACCTCAGATAATTACTGTTAATATTTTGTTTTTTATTTTTTATTTTTGGAGATGGAGTCTTGCTCTGTCACCCAGGCTGGAGTGCAGTGGCACAATCTTGGCTCACTGCAACCTCTGCCTCCTGGGTTTAAGTGTTTTTCTTGCCTCAGTCTCTTGAGTAGCTGAGAATACAGGTACCTGTCACCACACTCGGCTAGTTTTTGCATGTTTAGTAGAGACAGGGTTTCACCATGTTGGCCAGGCCAGTCTCAAATTCCTGACCTCAAGTGATCCACCCACCTTGGCCTCCCAAAGTGCTGAGATTACAGGTGTAAGCCACCACACCCCGTCCGTACTGTTAATATTTTATATCCATGTGCATTTAATGACTGAGGTATTTGGTAAGACAATTTTTACATCCTCTTTTTTTCAGTTGAGTGATATTATATGAGCTTTGACAAATTTATTTTCAGCTAGTAGCCTGTGTAAAGGTTAACCAGCCTTCTTCCTAATACCTGAAAGTTCCAACTCATATGTTAAAGGTTTCATTCCTGCCTGCTGGCCCCACCTCCAGAGTTAAGCAGTTCTATAATTGGGTACCTCATTCAACCGTTCTCACGGCGTTGTTTCCCTCCAAGAATCCAGGATGAGAAAGGCCACCTAATGGGTTTAAAAACTGGCAGAATGTCTTAGACAGAGAACTTGGTGTTCCTGGTAAGGTGAGAAGCAAGGGAGCTATGGATGAGAGCAGGGAAGAATGATACAGCCGGGGCCTCTTAGCCAGACTTTCAGTTTCAAGTTATATGTCCAGCTCCAAATTCTCAAGCAGATGAGGGCCTGGTCCTTTGCAGTTGAAAATCTGGAGTTTGGGCATTTCTATTTGGGCATTTTATTATCAAGCACAGATAGACAGTTGCTAATTGAGTAAAGACCTGAAAAATCATATCTGAATTCTGGTTTGTGGTTGCCAAATCCTTAAGCTAACACCTGCTGATGTAGAGATGAGCAAACTTTTTGCCTTTCATTCTTTCTCCTGATTAAGGGAAGGTGAAGAGGCAAGACAATGGATGAGAGGCTCCCAACTCTAATATCCAGGACTATTTCTAAAGAAGGAGGAAGCAGGACTCTGAAGTCTGGGCAAGGGCATTTTCTTGGTGGAGGGCCCCTTTGATCTGCCAAGAGAGTAAAATTCATTTCCAGGGCTTCCTCTAACTGGTGACAGTCTACTGACCTTTCAGGAGCATTCTCTTGGGGTGTAGAGGAGGCCACAAGGTGCTTATTTGGAATATTTTCTTTTCTTTTTTGAGACAGAGTTTCACTCTGTCGCCCCAACTGGAGTACAGTGGCATGATCTCAGCTCACTGCAACCTTTGCCTCCTGGGTTCAATCAATTCTCCTGCCTCAGCCTCCCGAGTAGCCAGGACTACAGGCGCGTGCCACCGCACCTGGCTAATTTTTGTATTTTTAGTAGACACAGTATTTTACCATGTTGGCCAGGTTAGTCTTGGACTCCCAACCTCAAGTAATCTGCCTGCCTTGGTCTCCCAAAGTTCTGGGATTACAGGCGTGAGCCACCACTCCTGTGTACTTAGTTTGGATTTAATAGGGGAGTCACTTTAACCAAACAACTAGTTAAACCGATCTGCCCCCTAGAAAATGGACTGGTGATCCATACAGTCAAAATGATCATGCCAGTTGTACTGAAAATATTATACAAAGGGAGTGGCTTTCCTGCTGTGATGCTCCAGTCCTTCATATCAGAGTGTCTGCTCCTGGAGAAGCATTTGCCAATCTTCTTGTTTCTGTCATGAGGCGGAGGTCTGATTCAGACTTTGAGAAACTAGGAATGGACCCTAAATTTTTTTTTTTTTTTTTTTTTTGCAGAATAAGACCCCTTTCACTTATTCAGGGAAGACTTATCAGCTGCTGCATGCCATGCTCTGTGCTAAGCTGGGGCAGCATAGTCCCTTTCCCCTTGGGAGGAGCTGTGGTGCTAAGCCACTAACTGGGCTCACCAATCCCAACACTTTAGCTTTTGCTGCTTTTCCATCATGTGTTGCTGGCGTGTTTCTTCAGTTCTCTGTGGTATGTTATTTGCTGGTTACTATGAGATTCCTTGATCTTTGAACACTACCTGGGATGTCCAGTGATTTCAGCCTTCCAGCAGTCATTAAGAAAAATAATCAGGGCTGGGGGTGGTGGCTCACGCCTGTAATCCCAGCACTTTGGGAGGCTGAGGTGGGCAGATCACTTGAGGTCAGGAGTTCAAGACCACCCTGGCCAACAGAGCGAAACCCCATCTCTACTAAAAACACAAAAATTAGCCAGGCATGGTGGTGTATGCCTGTGGTCCCAGCTACTCGGGAGGCTGAGGCACGAGAATTGCTTGAACCCAGGAGGCAGAGGCTGCCCTGAGCCAAGATCATGCCACCGCACTCCAGCCTGGGTGACAGAGTGAGACTTCATCTCAAAAAAAAAAAAAGGAAAAATGTATCAAAGGACTATTCACTCAGCCTCAGACAATGTGAAGCAGCTTCAAGAGAGGGGCTGGAAAGGGTTTCGTGTAAGAATTAATATTTCCTTTGGGAGTCTTAGCTCCTGTCAGATGATGGAGCAGCTTTTGCCCCTGTGAAACCAGTTCTGTTGGGGTGGGACCATGGGAATTTTCAGTCATCTCTGTTTCTTTCCTTTCAGTGTTCAAGGAGAAGCCTAAATACCCCCCCAGCAGGGCCCAATCCCTGAGCTATGCCTTGGCCTCTCCTGATGCCTCGTACTTAAGTTCCATCAGCCGGCTCTTCAAAAACCTCAACTTTGTGCTGCTGGTCATCACCTATGGTAAGGTGCCGGTGTGTCTAGGAAGGCATTTGAACTGGAAATGTTAGATGAGTGGCCTGAGGTATCTTCACATCTTACTCTTTCCAGATCCCAACTGTGCATGTGAAGTTGTTGTTTAGGGTCAATCCAGAGGAACCAGCTATGCTCGAGGGCTTCTGCATGTGTTGTAAAGTCCACCTAGAAAACAATTTCTTCCCATGTTAGGTCACCTGACCAATGCCTGTTGGTCCTCCAAGTCTCATCTCCATATCACTTTTGAAGAGCAGTAGTAGGTGACTTTCCCTTTCTTACCAAGCTATTCCTTGTACATCTTTTTCTTTTCTCTCTCTTTTTTGAGACGGAGTGTCACTCTGTCACCAGACTGGAGTGCAGTGGCGCAATCTTGGCTCAACACACAACCTCCACCTCCCAGGTTCAAGTGATTCTCCTGCCTCAGCCTCCCGAGTAGCTTGGACTACAGGTGTGCACCACCACACCCAGCTAATTTTTGTATTTTTAGTAGAGATGGGGTTTCACCATGTTGGCCAGGATGGTATCGATCTCCTGACCTCGTGATCTACCCACCTCAGCCTCCCACAGTGCTGGGATTACAGGCGTGAGCCACCGCGCCCGTCCTATTCCTTGTTCATCTTAACACCTGTCATTAAAAAAAAAAAATTGCAGATCTATTTCCATATTAGACTGAACTTTCTAAGGTTGTGGATTTATGTTTTTCATCTTTCTAGCTCCTCAGCAGTGGCTAGCCCTGGTGACTATTCCAGTAGTTACTGAATTAGTTAATTAATGAATGCATGCATAGATGTGTCTTGCCACAGGAGTCACTCCTCAACCCGTCCTCCCTCATCCTGTAATTGACTTCTGTTTTATCTGAATGTACAACATCACTCTTTCATTTGATTTGCCTGGCTCTTAGCAAGATAGGTTGGAATCTTTATGCTAATGTGTTGGCTTCCTTTCCCAGCACGGTGCTTTCTGTGTCTTCTTTCAAGCCTGTAATAAGATTGTTGGATCGGACTAGGGCAAAGACAGAACCTCATGGCATTCCATTAAAGAGTGTCCTCCAAAAAGAAAAGTGTCCTCCAGATGAATGCCAACCATTAGTTAATACCCTTAGTCCAAGTTGCTGCATATCTACCCACCTTTATTGCTATTCAGCCTACATTTGGTCATTTAATCCACCAGTTAAAGTTTGATTAAAACCAAGAGTTAGCAGCTGTGTGACATGTATAGGAACCATATGAGACAAAAAAATGAGATTGGTTTGACATGACTTATTCTTAGTGAAACCCCAGGTGGCCTTGGCTTCATGTTGCCTATACACTGAAAAGTATTGTTTTATAACAGCAATCGTGCTTACTATGTGCCAGGTACTTTTCATATCTGATTTTATTTAACTTCCAGTACACCCATGTGATGTTGGTACTAAAATTATCCCTATTTAACAGATGAGGAAAGTAAAATCAAAGTGGTTAGATAAGTAGCCCAAGGCCACACACCTTTCAAGTGGCGGAGCCAGAGTTCAAATATAAGTTCATGTAACTCCAAAGTCTGCTTTTTTTTCCCCCAAGACAGAGTCTCGCTCTGTCGCTCAGGCTGGAGTATAGTGGCATGATCTCGGCTCATTGCAACCTCCGCCTCCCAGGTTCAAGTGATTCTCCTGCCTCAGCCTCCCAAGTAGCTGGGATTACAGGCACCTGCCACCATGCCCAGCTAACTTTTGTATTTTTAGTAGAGACGGGGTTTCACCATGTTGGCCAGGCTGGTCTTGAACTGCTGGCCTCGTGATCTGCCTGCCTCGGCCTTCCAAAGTGCTGGGATTACAAGCATGAGCCACCACACCCAGCCCAAAGTCTGCATTCTTAATGCCAATTCTGGAATTATTGATGTTCCTTCCTAGGATTGTGCCAGGGTTTCATTTTAGACTTATCAGTACATTTTATCTCAATTAAAATATTTATCTGCTGAGACACTAGGTAAGAGGTGGCTTCATCCTGTTAAAGGGGCAATCCCATTTTCAGGCGTATGTGACCTTTCATCTGGAATAGCTGTAGATGACCCGATTCATCTTTAAGGTCTTGGTCCTCCATTCCTCATTTCCTCCAGTTTCTCGGTTCTCTGAGTATGTTTCCCCATTCATCCACAAAATAAAGACAAAGTTTCCAAACCTTAGAGAAGTCCAACTAAGGAAGTTACAAGTTCCCCATCACTGAGAGGTATTCAAGTATAGATGGGACTAACCACTTGGTGGGAATGTTTTAGGGAATCTCAGGCTAAAGATGGATAGTGAAACCAGATGACTTTGGGGTCCCTTCTAGACTCAGGATTCCATAACTCTAAGAGCTTTTGCTTTTGCTAGAGTTAGATATCGTGAGTGCATTGACATTTGACAACCATAAACCTTGTTGCATCTAACAGAGGATATTTGAAGCCTACCCTGGGATTCTAGGGCAGATGAGTGCTTCATAAATATTTTCTATGGATGAAAATGGTGACCGTGTGATAACTGGGCAATGGTCTCTTTCCAAAGGCTGTGGTCCTCAGTGCTGGAGGTTGTTGATATTAGGGCCAGGTCACTGACCCATGAGAATAAGAAACAGAAACAAAATGTACCAGGAACATTGTTGCTCCTGGTCATCGAAGGACTCAAGCCTGGGCCATGCTGTGGAGAGCAAAGCCACTCCTCCTCCTTCCTCTTGCATGGCTGGTTGCTTACATAGTCTTTAATCTGACAGAGTAGTTTTAATCCTGTACTTCCGGACTCTTTTTCTTATCTATTTGATTAAATGATAACCCAGGAAATAGATAAGAAAGCACTTCTTGAAAGGTGGAGTAAGGACCTTAGAAAATCTGCTCCTTTTTAAAAACAAGAAAAATGTCAAAATGAATTTTTTCAGAACTTTTAACAGATGGCTTGCAGCAATCTAAGCAGCATTATTCAGGATAAATGGCTAAATATCAGTAAGAATTATGGGCTTTAACTTGCCCTATTCCAATCCCCTTCTCCCAGGCTCTGCAGTAGCCTTGACTGCTACAGCCTCTCGGCCATGGGGCTGTGACATCAGCAGCCTCGCAGCCATGGAGCTGTGACATCAGCAGCCTCGCAGCCATGGAGCTGTGACATCAGCAGCCTCGCAGCCATGGGGCTGTGACATCAGCAGCCTTGCAGCCATGGAACTGTGACATCAGCAGCCTTGAGGCCATGAAGCTGTGAGAGCCAACTGTCTCAGCCATTGGAAGGAGCAAAGTCAGTTTGGAGCTCCACCCCTGAGAATTACTATTTGACCTCCCTGGCAGGTCCCCAGAAAAGCCCTATTCATAGGACATGTTATTTGATCTGACTTGGAGTTTGTTCAGTGGCAAGAGCTCTATTGCCAGGGCATTTGTTGAAAACAATCAATAGCACTGCTGAACATTATAGCTGCCTGCAGTGGCGGTAACAGTTGGGGTGAACAAGAGCCTGGCTGAAAATGCTGAAAGGAAACTCTGGAGAATGTGATGTCCATATGGGGCTCTTTCCAACAAGGAAATGATTCTGAGACTTAATCGCAGATTTGAAAAAATGTTTGATTGAGGAATCATATTAATTGCTTTACATGCATTATCTCATTTAATTTTCAAAACAAACACATGACATAAGCCCATTACTTCATTTTATGCATGAGGAAACTGAGGCTTTGGAGATTTAGTTTCTTGCCCATAGGGCAAAAACAATAGGCACTTACTCCAACTGTTAATCTTTGCTTTCTTCTACTGTGTTTTTTCCAAATTAAAACAAACAAAAACAATTTTTTTTTTTTTTGAAATGGAGTCTCACTCTGTCGCCCAGGCTGCAGTGCAGTGGCATGATCTTGGCTCATTGCAACCTCCACCGCCTAGGTTCAAACAGTTCTCCTGCCTCAGCCTCCCAAGTAGCTGGGATTACAGGCACCCACCACCATACCAAGCTAATTTTTGTATTTTTAGTAGAGACAGAGTTTTACTATGTTGGCCAGGCTGGTCTCAAACTCCTGACCTCGGATGATCTGTCCACTTGGCCTTCCATCAAAAAAAGTTTTTTAAAATGCCCTGTATAAATTCAACTTGATGCTTCGAAATCCTCCAGAATCATCCCAGTCCTCCCAATCCCCTTGCAGTTTCAGATTGGGCTTTGAAGGCAAATTGGTTCATACTTTTTACATTGTACATGTAGTGTTCATATTTAGCTCTGAATTACATGCATTTAAAGAGCATGTAGCTGGAGCTACATTTAAAGAAATCAAATGCTCAAAGAGCATTTAAAGGAATCAAACAGACAACAGCATTTCACAGGAACATGTACTGGACATGGGTGAATATGTCTTGGGTTAAGAGCCTTGAGTGCTAGACTCATAAGTTCAAAGTTGGCTCATAAGAAATGGGAGGTCTGAGTTTTGGTGTCAGCTCTGCCCGTTACTGAGTGTACCGCCTTCACCCGTCTGTGCTACCCATCCTTCATCTCTTTAATACCCTCCACCCGCTACCAGAAAACAGCAATGACACTTACTTCCCATTGGAGTGTTCTGAATGGAAGTGAGAGCTTTTAATGCAGTTGAGAATAAAGACATGGCATGCCTCCAGATTGCTATTGCATTGGTAAACTTATTTCCAGCGTTGCTTCTTTGGTCCAAACCAGATTTCACTAAGAGGAGTAGCTGTCCTGCAGCTGGTGGTATTGTACTTGTCGTGGCTTTCCAAGTGGTTCTCCAAGCTGATGAGTCAACTGCCCAGAGCTGAAGTACAGTGATGATTGAAGGCCTTGGAGGAAATCAAGGGTCCAAGTGTTGCTGGCTTTTCCCTAGACTTCTGGCTACACCCTTAGAGGTAGGGTTGAGAGATAAAATAAAGGCCATCCAGTTAATTTGAATTTCAGACAAGCAACAAATACTTTTAATATAAATATGCCTTATGTAATATTTGTGGCATATTTATGCTAATAACTATTATTATTTTAAATTTATTTATTTGCTTTTTTTTTTTTTCCAGAATCTGGCAATTCAGTTTAGAAGGGAAGAGTTGCAGGGGTTGGGCTCGTGCTTGATGTTGCTGAAATCTCACATTAGTAAGAAACTGCCAGTAAAACACCCTCCCTCTCTCTTTCAAGTCTGGCAATATGGGAAGACTCAAGGAACCAGAAATTCCACTTGCCTGCAAGTGTCTTTGGTGTGTTTCACAGCAGGGCGGGGTGAGAGAGAGAAAGGAAGCTTCCTTTGGCTACATTCTGTTTGTGGCTCTAGGTCTTGCATTCACATGGCCTCCTCTAATGTCTTATTATCAATGGCATAACAAGTCTTCTCTTCTAGAAAATGCCATACTCAAAGGGCATACCTTTTCTGTAATTATCGCCCAGGCTTGCTGAAGCCAAGATTATTCTGAATAATTTTCAGAAGCCTTTTGAATAATTTTCCAGTGGCTCTGGCATCTGAACTCAGAGCCCCAACTTGTATATCCCAAGGTTCACCTTCCCTTGGGGCTCTCAGTGCTTTATCATTGTTCTACCTACATAGGCTAGGGAGGGGCTTCATGCCCCCTCTAAAATCCTGGCTGAAGAGTGGGCATAAAATCCTTCTCTGGATTCCCAGGAGCTTTGCCAAGGTCAAGGTGGCCCTTTAAAACAAGGACTAAAGGAAAACACAGAGTAAGCAAAACCCAAAGATATGATCTGGGGTCAGTGTTTCCCAAAATTCCCTGAGGATAGGATTCCCTGGGTGCTTGACGGAATGTGCACATAGATTTCTGGAAACTCAAATTTAGAAAGCCTGGGTTGGGGCCTGAGAATCAGCTTTCTACCAGCATTCCAGATAATTCTGACTTGCAGCAGAGTTGAGAACCTCTGGGGTAGCTGTGTGGTGGGTCTTGAAGCCTCTTCCCATCCCAGCTGCCTCCATGTTAACCCCACCACCTGAGAGCCTGGGTCTGGTCTCTGATCTTCTGTATTTTGAAGGCCATGTATTCTCAAATTCCAGACGTCTTAACAAATGTATAGGGGGTTTTTGTTGCTGTTGCTAAAGATGCAGATTCCTGGGCCCTATTCCAAGAGATTCTGATTCAGTAGATCTACGGTAGGGCCTCACAATCTGCGTTTTTAAACTTTAAGGAATTCTAATGTCAGTATTCTCTGGAACACAATTTGAATAAAATTGTTATTGGGGCTGGGCTTGCTGGCTCACACCTGCAGTCCCAGCACTTTGGGTGACCAAAGTCGGAGGATCGAGATTCAAGACCAGCCTGGGAAACATAGTGAGACCCCCAAACATTTTTCACAAAGAAAAAAATTGTTTTTGACAAAGGAAAGAAAGAGATTCAGAATGTGGACAGAGAGAGTCCTTTCTGCCTCTCTAAAGCTTGCCTCCTCAGTAAGTGGCACCTCTCCCAAGTGACTGATTCCAGGAATGACCAGGCCTTTTAGGGGAGGTCACATTTTCTCTTCCCTGGCCCAGCAGGCTCACCTTGCTGAGGATGATCAGACCTGAATAGAATGCAGTCACCTGCACTCCTGTAAGAGGTACTCACGCCAGGAAGGAGCATGCATTTCATTCCTGCCCTTCTGTGTGGGATGCTCAACCCCTTTGTTTGGGCAGTAGAGTGAACTTATCCTGGTTAACCATGTTTGGCAACCTTTGACAATATAGGAAGGGACATCTAGACCAAAGATGGATTCAGAAAACATACACAACCTCCTGATTCCTCTAAGTCGAGGCTGCAGAAACAGTGGAGAAGATCGGCAGCCTTCCAGGATGAACCTCTGCTCTTCCTTCCCTCCTGGTCCCCTCTAGCCCTGATTCAGTCACCTGTCTGGCCGGGAGCAGGGATGGCTGTTGGTGAACCACATTGCTCTAGGGAGCCAGTGCTTCCACCAACATTGCTTATGATCAGAATCACCTGGGAGGCTCGTTCAAATGCAGATTGTGGGGGTGGGGGGGGCTCACTCTCAGAGTTCCTGTTGCAGTAGGTCTGGGATGGAACAGAGACCACACTTTGGAAACTATTTCACTAAACCTTTGGGCCCCAGAAAAACCACTCGGCTTCCGCAGTGTGGGTCAACCTGTTCAGGACTCTGTTCCTCAGGCCTTTAACAGGATCATGAAAGCACTGGTATATTTTTTGCTCCCAGTCCTTCTGGATAATTTCCCTCTTTTTTCTGTGGATTCTGCCCTCCTTGGCTCATCTGTTAGGAGAGCAGCTGTTCCACCTGAAGCTAAGCCTGAGTTGGAACATTCCTTGCCCTTTGCAGTGTCAGACTAGGCCAAGAGGCTTAGAGAGGAGTGGGGGAGATGGGAAGAGGGAGGAGACTGTTTTCTTTCTTCTCCTTCCCACACTCCGCCTCACTTGGCTTTTCAGGAATGTCTCCTTATGGGCCCTCCTGACTCAGAAATGGACTTTCTAAGTGCCTGAGTGTGTGCTGTGAAGATTAGATGGGAATGCTGCTTGGATGAGGCCGTGCTGAGAGCCTTGTGATCATTGCAGCCATCAGCCTGACAGCTGCAGTGATGTTTGGGGATACGTCTGGGTTTATTGGCCCGCTGTGGCTCTGTGCTGCTCAGGAAGCTGTATTGAGCCCAATCTTGTTGCATCCCTGAGGTGGTCTGCTAGGAGAGGCTGGGACATGAGGAAATTGTTCAGTGACCTGAGACGGAGAAATCTAATTCGAGAATCAGCTTTGTGAGGATATAAAGCAGAGTGTTTAAGATCAAGAACTCTGGAGCCACAGCGTCTGGGTTCAAATCGAGTTCCATCACTTAATACCTGTGTGATTGCAAAGCAATTCTTTCCCATTTTGCATGAGAATTTGACCTTTGCTTAACTTTGTATCTTTTACCCCTGGGAACCAGATAAAGGGAGTATGTCAACTACCTTTATGCAACATTGCTTATGATAAAAATGTCCTCTGGTGATAAAAAAAAATGGACAGGGAGACCTATTCATTCTTGTGGGAAGCCATTCTTCGTGCTTCCCTGAGTGCAGTGACTCCTTTCACTGGCCTGTCACTTATGGGGCCCCTGGAAACTACGCCTACGGAATTGTTACAAGTAACAGTGGTGCCTGTGAAGCATCCAGGGTGGTTGCCATACCCACCTTTCATTGCACCTTAGCTGTCATCTGAAAGAAAGTAACTTCTGGAAGGCTGTATGGACTGGGGTTCTATGGACTGGTTCCACTGAAGAGGAACTCCTGAGGCTGCCCTGCCCACAAGCTCCGTGTCCTGACTTACGCCCTTCCAAGTGACTCTAATATTGAGTGTGCTATCTTGTGAGCCTCAATGTTTAGTAAAAGTTAGAAAGACCCCTGGTGGGCATTGTGGACTGACTGTATTTGTTGTTTTTACTGTGTGTGCATCCTTCCTATCTATAAAATGGTGATGAAAATACCACCTACTTTCTAGGGTCGTTACAAAGTATCTAATCCATAGGTATGTGCAGCTGCCTTTGTCATCTTATCATCATCATTGAAGGGAGGCCAGGAGGCCTTTTCTCCTCTGGGTCAGTTCCAGTCTCAGCTACTGATTTGCTGTATGACTTTGGCCAAATGACCTTATTCACTACAGATGCTGCCTTTCAGAGCATATCCTCGGTGCTCCATTCCTTAGGTGAATGAATTGGTGTAGAGTAGGAGAGTCAACCGAATGCTCTTTAGGGTCTCTTCTAGTTTCGTGTAACAGATTTTGTGTGACATTGAATCAGCAAAGAAAGTTGGAGGAGGACTGGAAAAAGGAGAGAAACTACCTGCAGAGGGAGTGGCACAGGGGTCAGAGGTCTGGAGCAGCCTAAAGATGGGGCAGGGTCATCAGGAGGAGGAGGAATGTGTCCAGGTGTCCTACTGACCACCCCATAGATCTACCCAGGGCTTAAGAAAATGTAGACAATTCTGCCCTGGGAGTTTATCTTCCAGGGCAAATCAAAGGGATCAGAGATCAACGGGGTATGGCTAAGGAAAGATTAAATGGTTACTTTTGGTTGTTTTGAAGTATTTCTTTGAGAAAACTGCAGAGTAGCCTCAGACCTCCCTGGATTTTTCTTCTCTACTGCTCAGAGTGGCAATGGGGATGAGGATTTCTGCCCACACCCTCCCCTCAGCTGCCGGGGGAGAAGTTAGCAATGGCCCCAGAAGAAAGCTGACCCTAATGTTGTATTTCTCACTCCCTCCTTCAGGTCTGAATGCTGGTGCTTTTTATGCCTTGTCCACTCTGCTGAATCGCATGGTCATCCGGCACTACCCGGTAAGGGACTTCCCTAAGCATGTTGGGCCTCGAGATGATATGTTTCTAAGTCTGTCTTGGCAGGAGCTTGGATGATGGTGAAGTCTTCATTCCCCCTAGTTCTAGGTAGCATGATATGGTGGTATACTTATGGGATTTGGAAGGAGATGGCCCTAGATCTCAACCCCAGCTGTGGTGGCACTAAACTGTGTGACAGCTTGACAATGTGACAAGATAGTTAGTGTTTCTGAGCTTTCATTTTTTTTTTTTTTTTTTTGCTGCAAAAGAAGCATAATTATTTCTTGCAAGATTCTTTTTAGGATTAGAGAGTAAATAATGCCACATGTATATGTATATATAATTATACATGAGATATGTATTTATTATACAACAGTGCTTGGCAACACAGTTGGCAAATATATATATATATATATATATATAATATTTCTGAATTTAAATGTTTCCAGAACCCATGAGGTTCTGGTTGCTGGGAATGGAAGACTGAGGGTCCTGGACTCAGGAATACAGAGATTCAACCATCTTTTGAAAGGACTAGGCTCTTACACTTGCACAAGTGGTAGGCTATGTGGCTAAGTGTTCTAGTTTTGGAGTTCAAAGGTGTGAGTTCAAATCCTAGCTCTGAACTTACCATATGTCTTGTGACCTTGGGCTTGTAAATTAATTTCATTGCACCTGTTTCTTCATCTGCAAAATGGAGAAGACTGATTCCTAACCTTATGATGGGGAATGGTGAGGAGTCAATGAGATAATGATATAAAACCTTAGGCATGGTGCCTAGCTTATAGTAAGCACTCAAAAATATGTAATGATTATCTTTCCATTCCTCTTGGCACTGATAGCTCAAAAACCCAAGAATGGAAATTTTAACATATGCATTTTAATTTCCCCATCTGTGAAATGGAAATAATGACAGATAAGATAGAAGAGTTGCTGTAAGGTTTACATTTTAAAAAAAATTTTCCTAAAAGTAGTTCTAAGAACAAATTTGCTTCATCCCTGTCACTCCAGCATCCAATATCATGCACACACATTCAGAGTTATGTTGCTGGGAGGAGTAGTTATTTTAGAATTTTCTCCTAAGCCATCTTCTTACAGGCCCTCTTATCCTGATACATTCTGAATGTTGACTTTGATGGAGCCTGAGTTACTTGCCTTTGTTCCTTCACCCCATGGTGACTGCACTCTCTCCTGGGTCTTGTCCAATCTCCGGGTGATCGTTGGGGCTATGGTTTCCCCAGGGGGAAGAAGTGAATGCTGGAAGAATTGGCCTGACCATCGTCATTGCAGGAATGCTTGGGGCTGTGCTCTCAGGAATCTGGCTGGATAGGTCCAAAACCTACAAGTAAGTGACTTTTCCTCTTGGACTGAGAATTGGGGACCTGTTTTTTTGAAATGACATATTCATAAGCAATGTGGCTCCAAGGCATTGTGTGGAGATCTGAGTGGCCAAGCAGGTCATTCAAGTTTGTCTTCTCTGAGCCTCAGTTTCTTCATTTCTCAAATGAGGGAAGCTATGCCCTTCTTAAGATCCCCACGGGATTCTAGGAAGATGAGAGCTGCCGGACTTGAAGGCTTAGCATAGTCCTCTTCCCCTCTCCACTCTCTACATCGCTTTGTGAAAGCAGCAGAGAAGGGAGAAATGAAAATGAATGGGAAAAAAATTTCAGCAGTGGAAAGTCTGTGGAAACTCCAAAGAATGGAGATGAGGAGGAGGTGATTTCATTGCCCTGTTCTCATGGCACCTTGTGGACCCCGTGGGGTTAACCAAGGTGCTCTATGCTTTCTCCAGTTTGCAGTGTATATTATCTTCCAATTATTTATACCTTGCTGGTAAATATCATAATGTTCTTTGGACCTGAATGCCCAGTGCATTTGTAAGAGCCTGGAGCTGTCTTATGAGGTTTTATCAGGCTAGGCACATTGACTCACATCTGTAATCCCAGCACTTTGGGGGACCAAGGCAGGTGGATTGCCTGAGTCTAGGAGTTCAAGACCACCAGCCTGGGCAACATGGTAAAACCTCATCTCTAAAAAAATACAAAAATTAGGCTGGATGCGGTGGCTCATGCCCGTAATCCCAAGCACTTTGGGAGACCAAGGCGGGCAGATCACCTGAGGTCGGAAATTGGAGACCAGGCTGACCAACATGGAGAAATCCCGTCTCTACTAAAAATACAAGATTAGCTGGGCATGGTGGTGCATGCCTGTAATCTGAGCTACTTGGGAGGCTGAGGCAAGAAAATTGCTTGAACCCAGGAGGTGGAGGTTGTGGTGAATCGAGATCATGCCATTGCACTCCAGCCTGGGCAACAAGAATGAAACTCCATCTCAAAAAAAAAAAAAAAAAGCAAAAATTATCTAGGCATAGTGGCACACACCTGTAGTCCCAGTTACTTGGGAGGCCGAGGTAGGAGGATCGCTTGACCCAGGAGGCAGAAGTTGCAGTGAGCTGAGTTCATGCCACTGTACTCCGGCCTGGCTCAACAACAACAAAAAAGGTTTAATCAGTGTGAACATAGGTGAAGAAAAATTAAAAGATTTTAGTGAATGCCAGTCCACTAGTCCCCCCATGGATGCCAAATCAGCAGAAAAATCTACATTTATACAAAGCAACCTGGGTGTCTCAATTCAGCAGCTGGCCTTGGAGGAAATGCTCTGGCGAACAGCCCCCCAACATCCTTCCCTTGTGATTTTCCAGTGCTCCCCATTCACTGGGTACTCAGTTTAGCACTGGCTGGTGGGGCAGCTGCTAGGCTATACTATACTGGGGCAAGGCAGTGTCCTGGGCTGCTCCGTCAAGGCCTCCAAAGTTCCCAGTGTCTGCAGGCAACAGACAGTGGCAGACCCTGTTCTCCACCACACAAACCCACTTCTGTGAGGCTCTGGTCAGACCAGATCTCACTCTGGCTGCCCGAAGAAAGGCCAATTGAGACCATCCCTAGGGAGGTGGCAATGAGGAGCCTGGCTCTGCTTAATTACTGTTGGCGGAGCTTGGCCGCCACCTCATCGCTGCCATCTGTTAGTTGCTTGCTTCAGCCAGACACCAGAGTGGTGAGGACTGGGCATGCCCAAACCACTGAATAGCAGTGTCCCTTTTTCCAGGGCTTGCTCTGCGGCAGGAGGAGGGAGGGATTGGAATGTTGGCTGGGCTGGGACATGGGCAGCTGTATGATTCAGATGAAGTAGAAAATAGAATGAGAGGACTGGGAAGGACACTTTCTCAGCTCTCTTCAGAACCTAGACGTGACCAGTTCCTAGTGCCACATGATGTCTAAATCTAGTGGTCAGCATGAGATATTCTTCTCCCTGTACCGCTACCCAGGTAGAGAAGGGCAACTCCTAGTGGGACAAGAGCTCTGTGATCCCATCATTTCAGTGCCAGTCCTCGTCACCTTGAGGCTCCCAGATTTGTCTAGTTTGGTTTGGAGGCTGGAAATTGGGTGATGAGGTTTATCTCAGGCTGGAACTACAAATAGTTTTTCTAAACTGGTCAGTGGTTTAGGATGAAGCTATGATTAAAGCTTCATCCTGGTGAACTGATGGGATAATCAATAAGACTGGTGTCCATGACATCACTTTCTGCAGAGTTTGTGGGAAGAGTGTGAGGGAGGAGCATGAAGGGAGGAGGAAGCTCCTCTGCTCTTAGTAGCTGCTTTGAAGCATCAGGTGGAAGTAGCATCCTTTGGAGACTCTGACCTTGAGCTTTTCCAAAGATGCAACCACGTGGTGCATAATCATCCCTGCATGCGGTAGCAGAAGGGGCATAGGTTTCAAATCCCGCTCTGAGTTCACATCCCAGCTCTGCATTTATTCAGCTGGTGACTTTGGACAAGTCACTTGAGTGGCCTGAGCTTCAGTTTCTTCATTGGTAAAATGAGATATCATCATATATTTCTCACAGGATTTTTGTAAAGGTTGAATTGAAATAATAAATGCATACGAAGTGCTTCACAGAATCTGGCACTCAAGAGATGTAAGGTTTAGTTTGACACAACCATAGTGTGCTGGTTGGTACCTCCACCATGGTTCTGGCTTCAGGAGTGATGTGTAAAGAAAGGCTTTAAAGGTCGGGTGTGGTGGCTCACGCCTATAATCCCAGCACTTTGGAAGGCCAAGGCGGGCGGATTGCCTGAGCTCAGGAGTTGGCGACCAGCCTGGGCAACATGCACCTGTAGTCCCAGCTACTGGGGAGGCTGAGGCAGGAGAATTGCTTGAACCTGGGAGGTGGAGGTTGCAGTGAGCCAAGATTATGCCACTGCACTCCAACCTGGGCGACAGAGCGAGACTCTGTCTCAAAAAAAAAAAAAAAATGCCACTGCACTCCAGCCAAGGGCTTTAAAGCTTTCATCATCTGAGCCCTGATGTTCATTGTAGGGAGGCAGAGGGCTGTGCAGGGAGGCAGAGGGCTGTGCAGTGCCTGTGCCCTGCCTTAAGCAGTGCAGGGAGAAGAATGCAGGTCCAATGGCATGAGTCAGGGCTGCAGCAGAGTCCTAGGTGGGTGACATGGGAAGAGAACTGCTGGAGGGGCACAGAGGGATGAGCCTGAAATAGAAGCCGGAACTTGCTGATGGGACTGCTGAGGGGACCAAGAGAGGAAAATGTAACAGGGAGTGGGCGGAGCTAGGGGTGGTTTCTTACATTGGCTTTGGAAGTCAAGTACTCAGTTCAGGGCAAGAGACTATTCTCTTAGTTCCTGCTCTCTGGAGTGGAGTAATTCAGACTCACAGAAAAAGCATTGTTGAGTCTGTTTCAGTAGGGACAGGAAGAACTTGTAGGTGACAGAGAGCCCTGCCCTGCATTGACATGGGTCTTGGGATGAAGCAGACAAGCAGAATTGGATGGCGTCTGGGGTAGTCCTAAACGTCAGGACTTCACCATGGCTGATGTTTGTCCTGTTTTTCTTTTTTCTGGTAAGGGATGGGAGAAGGAGAAAGGGCTTTTCCCTTCTTGTCTGTGGCCAGGACCTGACAAGGGGAAGCTTGATATGGTTGAGTGTGTTCTACAGAAAGAGAACAAAGCTATCATAAGATGACTTCCTGTTTTATTAATCTTACCCTTTGTAGCATTGATCATGATGTAATTAAATATTTTTTTGTGTGATCATTGTCCATTGGTGTCCATCATCTTCATGGAGAGAAAGTTCTATGAAAGAAAATGTCCAAGGAACAAGGCCAGGCCTAGGCCTTGGCCTTGTAAGGCCTGTAATCCCAGCACTATAGCAGGCCAAGGCAGGTGGAGCACTTGAGGTCAGGAGTTCAAGACCAGCCTGGCCAACATGGCAAAACCCCATCTCTATGAAAAATACAAAAATTAGCTGGCGTGATGCACTTGACTGTCCCAGCTACTCAGCAGGCTGAGGCACAAGAATTGCTTGAACCTGGGAGGTGAAGGTTGCAGTGAGCTGTGATCACGCCACTGCACTTTAGTCTGGGCAACAGAGCAAGACATTGTCTCTGAAAACCAAACAAACAAAACTCTAAGAACATAGCAGAGGGCTCGACATACAGCAGATACTTAATAGATACTTGTGGAAAAAACGAATGAATGAATCTATTCAAGTCAGAAGTGTTTGATTCCATTTTTTTGCCTCTACTTGTAGGGAGACAACCCTGGTGGTCTATATCATGACTCTGGTGGGCATGTTGGTATACACGTTTACCTTGAGCCTGGGACACCTGTGGATAGTGTTCATCACTGCTGGCACAATGGGGTAAGTTTTACCTCTGGCCTATTTATTAGAAAACACCATTGCATGGTTCTTAGAGCTTCCAGCATCCTAGGATGCAGTATTGATACTTTTACTGACTTCTCACTGACCTCAGGAGATATGGACATGGTGTCCAGCGTTCTTGGTAATACTTGTAGCACTTCCAAAGGCTGCCTGGGCTGTCTGTTCTTTTGGGATGGAGTGAAGCATGAAGCACACCCTTCATGACAACTCGGAGGCTAGAACCTGTTTAGAGTCTTTTTCAGTTTTTGCCTGGACAACATGGGATTATGGAAAGTACATAGGGCTTGGAACCAGAGACTCTGGGTCCTGGTCTCAGTTTTGCTGCTGCCAACATGTTAGACCATGGGCACAGCCCTTAACCATTCTGAGCCTCAATTTCCTCATCTGTAAAGGAAGATAAGAGTGGCTGCCTTGTCGAGTTGTTGGAAAGACTGAGAAAGATGACATGAAAGCATCAAGAAGTGTGGTGCAAACGTAAGAAATTAAAGTTGGAATTGTCTAGACCTGTTATATGAGAAAACACAGGAAACAATACCTCTTTCACAGGAGTCTCTGCTCAGCTCCACCTCCTAGTTATTTTCCTAAGGGCAGTATATGAGTGTGTGTGTGCGTGTGTGTGTGTGTCTGCATGTGCATGTGCATGTGAAAGAAAGAGGGAGAGAGCGCACGCTGGCACTCGGTTCTCAGCTGGCTCCTCTCTGGATGGAAATAAGGAGGACTCTAAGTTCCTCCCTCCAGGTCCCGGAGAGCCATGGAGATGCTGCTCAGTATCCAGGAACTTCCCACTACTGGTACAGAGCCTATGTACCCAGGACATGGTCTCTCAGCTGCGGGTTGCATACACCAGGCATCCCTGCCCCTTCTGTAAATGCTGACTCTGGCTGTCACTGATGGCGAGATGGAGAAGCAGCAAGAGACACCAGACCTGCTAAGTACAAGGTCTCCCTGTGAACTTCTTCCTGGCCTTCAGGGGTGCCCCTCTCCGTGTTATGACCACTTAGAGGATGCCCAGATCATTAGAGGACCTAGTATGTCTTGGCGGGAAGAAACAAAACAGGAAAGGGAGTTCTAAGGGAGGAGGTGGACTCCCCGTCCCTCTTGTTCTGGAAATTCTTCATCCTCTTGTTTCTCTGGTCTGGACTTCAGCTTCTTTATGACTGGCTATCTCCCGCTGGGATTTGAGTTTGCCGTGGAGCTCACGTACCCAGAATCAGAAGGCATCTCCTCCGGTCTCCTCAACATATCTGCACAGGTAAAGTTCGTGCTTCCTCTTTGTTTCGTGGCTGGGCTGGCATTGCATCATGGCAGCTCAGTTCTCCTCATGGGTTAGTTGACTGGGCCCTTGTTTCCGATATTCTTTATGCCTTTCCAGGTATTTGGGATCATTTTCACCATCTCCCAGGGCCAGATTATTGACAACTATGGAACCAAGCCTGGGAACATCTTCCTGTGTCTGTTCCTTGCTCTTGGAACAGCCCTCACTGGTGAGTTGGAGCCTGAGAGCGAGATGAGGCTCAGCTGGCCAATTTGGGACCCCAGTGTCTCGATGGAACAACAGATAGGGAGTACCTATGTAGGGGGACAGAGGGAAGGGTTTGTTGGGGAATCTGCTCAGGAGGCAGCACATTGTCTTGGTAGAATGAGCATGGGTTTTAGAGCCAGAAGACCATGTTGGAATCCCAGACTGTGAAACTGACTTCCATAGCAGTTGACCTTGGACAAGTGGACCAACCTCTGGGAACCTCAGTTTTTATTCAGTAAAATGAGGATAATTAGAGCAATGCATGCAAAGTCCCTGGCAAATATAAGTGATCCACAAGCGAAGGCCATTATTGGCTCCTGCCTGTCAGGGACAGCAGTGATCCTTGGGCTTTATCAAGTTGGCTGATGGTGCCCTCAGTCACCAGCCCTCTTGAATATCTGCAGTAAGTTTGGGATACCTGTGACCCTTAGGAAATGAAGGTTTCTTCTCTTGGATGAACGTGATAACTGTGTTTTTGTCTTTCTTCCTTCTCAATCTGTCAACCTTAGCATTCATTAAGGCAGATCTCCGGAGACAGAAAGCAAACAAAGAAACTCCTGAGAATGTGAGTATGTGGGAGCTTTGTGGAGCTGAGATCGGGGTCCAAGGCTTTTGATGAGGATGTGGCAACATAGGTGGGGCAGGGAGAATTCCCATGGGGTCTGATTTTGTCACAGCTGGGAGAACAGCTCATCACTCACACATGGTATCCTAAGGCTTTCCTTGGTGGATGTTTTTGCCATTGCTTTCTTGCAACTCTTTCTTGGATTCTTCTCTCACTTCCTACCCTCTTCCTGGAGCCCCGGCCCCATCCTGAGCATGTCACTGTTGTCACAGTCAGCTGAGCAGTGCCCCTGACTTGTCCTGAGCCAAGTCCTGAGGCTCTGGCTCCACTGCGTTCAGCGTGGGGGCAGTGGCTGGGGAGGAAGGCGAAGCCTGGCTCCATCATCTGTCATGGAGGTGGTGGCCCCCAGGCAGTGGCTCTCCTGGAATGTGACAACTCCTTAGGCAGGGCCATGGGGACGGAGCCAAAGAGTTGCCAGTAGGGCTCTGAAAGGACAAGTTAGGAAGCAGGAGCTGGCGTGGTGGGGGAGGGCAGGACCAGGGGTGTGACCTAGAACAGAAAAGTGTTTCTCATCTGTTCTCACTGGCTGGGAGCCACTTTAAACAAAATTTTAGTTATCAAATCTGAGTGATGATGAAAGAAATTTCAAATCTGAGAAAGAGTAAAGGTAGGATATTCAAAAATTTAAAAAAAAACTTACAGAGGTAATACATGCTCTTGGTAGAAAAAGTAAAAAATACAGAAAAGTGTACAAAATTTAAAAATCATGCTGTAATTCCATCGTCTAGAGATGAGATGATTTTTTTGCATTGATTTCTGCATGCCTGTATCCACATGAGATATATGAATATGTGTATATAAATGCAAATTTTTTTAAACAAAAATGAAACTCTGTCTGCTTTTTTCACTTATTGCAAACACTTTATCAGGCAACTAGTCTTTTGCAACTTTTTTTTTTTTTTTTTTGAGACAGAGTCTTGCCCTCATCCAGGCTGGAGTGCAGTGGTGCAATCTTAATTCACTGCAGCCTCTGCGTTCCAGGTTCAAGCAATTATCATACCTCAGCCTCCCTAGTAGCTAGGATTGCAGGTGTACGCCACCATGCCTAGCTAATGTTTGTATTTTTAGTAGAGATGGGTTTGGGCCATGTTGGCCAGGCTGGTCTCAAACTCCTGACCTTAAATGATCCGCCAGTCTTGGCCTCCCAAAGTGCTGGGATTGCAGGAGTGAGCCACCACGCCTGGCCTACAACATACTTTTAATGTATAGCGTTCCTTTATATGGATAAGTCATGATTTATTTAACAATTTTCCTGTCTGTGGACATTATGGTTGTTTTGAATTGTTACAAATAATATTGTGATTAATATGTTAGAAGCTGAATCTTTGTGCATATTCTCAAGTACCATATTTCCTTGAGAAAGGGATCAATGGTCATGCCCATTTTAAAGACTTTGATATGTGTTGCTAAACTGTTCTCTAGAAAGGTACTATGAATACTGGCAATGTATATTGCTAGGCAGTAGGCAGTCATATGAGCGCCAACACTGAGTATTTTTCATTTTGAAAAATCTTTGCCAATTTTCTGAGGCAAGAGATATCTGTTCGGGATATTTTTAGTGTCTTAAGGATCTGTGTTGGCAGATAGATGATAATCTTTAGGTCTTTACTATTACGTTCTAGAGTTGGCAGGCAGCAGCAGATAAGCATGTGGAAGGAGGGGCCTAGAACGGAAAATTCACTGGGGAGACAAGGAGGGCCTTACAGCAGGAATGATGTTCTTTAGTTCTGCCTGAGGACCACGCTAGGGTCACCATGGAGATGGGCTTTCACCCATCCTGTGTACAAGGAGACATATGATTTGGTAAACTGGCTGGGCGTGGTGGCTCATGCCTGTAATCCCAGTACTTTGGGAGGCTGAGGCAGGCAGATCACCAGGTCAGGAGTTTGAGACCAGCCTGGCCAACATGGTGAAATCCCATCTCTACTAAAAATACACAAATTAGTCAGGCTAGTGGTGCACACCCATAATCCCAGCTACTGGGATTGAGATTGTGCCACTGCACTCCAGCCTGGTGACAGAGCAAGACTCCATCTCCGGGGGGAAGGGAAAAGAGGAACGATTTGTTACACTTGGGTAAATATATGTATAGTGAGCCTGGGAAAAGGTGCCTGGTGAAAGGTTTCAATTTGGAATGTGACATATCGTGTCAAGTGAGATGAGATTTTGCTGTGTTTACTTTATAACCTGTGTTTATTTTGGCAGACATAGGCAAACAAAGAAAATCAAAATCACCTATAATCCTGCTTCCCAGAGATAACCTAGTAGCATTTCCAGTGTTGTAGTCTATGGACACCCTTGTGTATATTTTGCTTTCTACTCTGCTCTTTTACTTAGTATAGCTTGGTAACATTTCTACACTATGATGTTCTACCACAAGCTCATGTCTACTGTATATTTCCATTTCCCTCGATATTTCAGTTGCTCTGCTATTTCATGATTCTTGCAGCCAGTTTTTTGTGCACATAGACCAGGTTTGTTAATCAAGGTACAATTGTTGGCTCACTCTCTTTGAGTGTGGGGTGCTAGAAAAAGCGCTGAGCAGGAACAGGAGCCTTAGGTTCCGATCAATGGTGCTCACCTGTCTTGTGTCCCTGGATAATTCACTATGTGTCTGTAGCCTCCCTGGCACCCGTGACAGCTTGGTATTGGGGGTGGGGTGAAAGTCATGCTGGGGCTAACACCAGCAAGGAAGAAGGGCCATCACAGAGCAGCCCTCCTCTGGAACCCCGACATTACACACCCCATGGCAGCCATTGTAACTCAGAGTCCTGCAGACAAATTCATTGTTGGAGCCAGGTGAAGACTGGGCACACAGCAGATCTGACCAGACCTGCTCTTTCTAATCAGTGAAATGTATAGTTTAGGGAAAAAGAGATAGGACTTCTGGGATGGGGTAATGATTGACCTTGACTATGAGCATCTTACTGGTTTGGGTTTCCGTTTTTCTTCTAGCACATAGACAGTAGTTGCTCTTCTGTCTCCACTAACTTGTTTACTGTTTGTAATTGTGATGATGGCTTTGGAGGAGGCAGGCGTGGTGTGTGTGTGTGTGTGTGTGTGTGTGTGTGTGTGTGTGTGTGTCAGAGAGAGGGGAGACTGAGTGACTGAAATAGGCTGTTAGTTGCCTGAATGACGGCTCCTCACTTCTGAGGCTGACTTGATGCCAAGTATTATGAAGATTGAGAATGGGAAGTTTGGATTTCTACAGCTGTTGCTATTGTCACTAACAGATACTGAGACACTCCCTGCAGAATAAAGTACCATTTGTCCACTTGACACTGGGTTCTGTCTTAGCCCTGTGTGTGTCCTCTAGGCCTTGAGTGGTGTTGGCTATGTGGTGCTGTGCCCAAGGCCTACTTGTGAAGAAGAAGAACCCTTGAGGTCACAGACAAAGTCCTTAAAACAGTAGACAAAGGCCCAGGTTGGTAGCATGTACCTAGGGACACCACAGGATAATTTCCAGGCATGTGTAATTCCAAACCCACCTAAAAACATGACCTAGAAGACTTTCCTGTAAATGAATCCTGTGCCATTCCTCCCCTAGAAAGCTAAAGCCACTGAGCTTGTATATGCAATTATGTATGCTGCCTTGGCATCTACTGCTTGTTCATTATGATAGTATACGTCAGCTGGACATGGTGGCTCATGCCTGTAATCCCAGCACGTTGAGAAACTGAGGTGGGCAGATCACCTGAGGTCAGAAATTCAAGGCCAGCCTGGCTAACATGGTGAAACCATGTCTCTACTAAAAATACAAAATTCACCAGACATGATGGTACCCACCTGTGATCCCAGCTATGGGAGGCTCAGGCAGGAGAATCGCTTGAACCCAGGAGGCAGAGTTTGCAGTGAACCAAGATCATGCCACTGCACTCCAGCCTGGGCAGCAAGTGAGACTCCGTCTCAAAAAACAAAAAACTGTATTCCTTATCCTGGGACTGCCTCCAAATGGTGGTTGTTGGAAATTTTGAGGGAATTGCAGATGTGGCACTTTGGACAGTGATTTGACGGCTAGTAGAGGTAAGTTTTTAGCTGTGAGAACGTGGAAGGAAAAGGGGCTTTGCTTTTGTTTCCATCTGAGAGTGGGCCTGGAAGAGGGGCACTCGGAGTCAGATGGTTTGTGGTGGCCTTGACATCATAGAAAGCTGGCCCTTTTTCCCTCTGATGACCCTGTGACGTTGGGCGGGGTGTGTTTGTGGGTGCATTTATAGCAGGGGCTGGTTGCTTCTTTTCTTGTTCTCTTTCTTGGCTCTCTGGGATGCTGAGTGGTCCCTGGCTCTGCTGTTCCCCCTGATTAGTCACGGACAGGCAGTTGCTCCAGCCAGGGTGGAGTCCTCTCCCTTTACCCACAGGGCTGCCTGTTGTTTTGCTTTGTAGAAACTCCAGGAGGAGGAGGAAGAGAGCAACACCAGCAAAGTGCCCACTGCTGTGTCAGATGATCATCTCTGAGAGGAAGGTGGTGGCAACTCAGGGAACATGAACACCCCACCTTTTCCTTCAGCACAGCTCTCACCGCCAGCACAAAGGGCTTCGCTAGAGAAGTTTTTGGAGGGAAACAGCAGAACTATTTGTGGCTTGGATGGCCTATTCCGCCTAGAACCCGTGTAAGAGCTTGGATGATTTACTTAGAGAAAATTACATCTTTCACCAAATGCAAATTGGATTCCCACCTCCACCCCCTTTTAGGTTATGGGAGTTGGTGTTGGGACAGGCTGGCAGAGAATAGTGGAGTCAATCCTAGCTTGGTCTCTTGCCTTCCCTCTTTTCCTCCATCCTTCATGGACAATGCATGCAAAATTATCATAGGAAGAAAGCTTATTCAGGATATAAACTTGAAATTTCCAGTGTCCTAGGAGCGCCTCATGAAGCCCAATTCTAAGAAGGGGCAAGCTACTCTGCCAGGGGTCATCTCCTGGGTCACTGGACTGACTGCTGAGTTCTGTAGGAGAGGAAGCACCACTAGAACAACTCCATTGGAACAGCTCCATCAGGACTTGTGGGCCTAAATTCTCCTGGCCTAACAGGGTCTGTCTCCAAACCCTTTTTCCTAAGAGCTGAGCAAACCAAACATCAATAAACTTGACAAAGGACTTTGTTGTGGCCATGATGGAGACACCTACTCGGGAGGGCTACTACCTAGGTGTGATCGTGCTGGGGGCTACCTGCTGAGTGTATTTATGGAGGCCCACATTTGGGAACTCTGTTATCTTGAGTTAGGAATGGGAAGGTTCTTTTTTATAGACGTATTTCCCCAGGGACTTGTGTGTGTCACATCACCTCTGATGCCTTTATCTCAATGCTGTGTTGGGAACCTCAGCCATCAGCCCAAGTGCTTGTTTTATTCCAAGGCAGGGTAATCCCAGCCAACTTACTCTGACCTTTACTGAAAACTAATCTTGATTCATTCCACTCTGACAAATCCAAAGCTGCTTCTGAGAGATAAGAGGGAAGGAGTAGAAGCAGAAAGGTGGTGCCCCCTTGCAATGGGAATTGAGTCTGCTAGAATTAAAAGCTTATCTCACCTCTGCTGGGGACAGTTTTGTACCACCAACCCCTATCCCCACCTGCTTTGAGTAATAATCCTTATCAGATGTTCTAAACTTAAAGGGATTCTCTTTAAATCAACTCAAGCTGACCTCCTTTTTTATCTAGCCTGCTGTCGGGCTGTGCTCATTGGCTTTGGTAATACCTCCTAAAAATGAGATTTTGGTAACTTCTCCTATGCATTGGGCAGCTGCGATCATGACCACCATGCTGTCTTGCTCTGGCCACTGCCCTGGCCTCAGTGTATCAGGGCAGCCCGACCTGGCTGTAGTACTTCGGTGCCTGGGCCACTGCCTGAGAGGACCCGGGGGTGTGTGTGTGTGTGTGTGTGTGTGTGTGTGTGTGTGTGTGTGTGTGTGTTTGTAGAGATTTAAGCAATGGATGCAAGAAATGTGCTGTATGTAACAGAAGAAAGAAGTCCATGCTTTTGGTAGTAGCGAATCAGTGCGGAAGAGAGGTGAGGGTGTGCCTTACTTTTTGATAAGGAGAAAGATGTTTACTCATCAACCCTTCAAAATGTATTAACAAAATGTTCACCAAACCTATTGCTTTATTTTAAAAACATAATTTGTATTTTCCATTTTTAAGATCAGACGTTTCAAGACAATAAAAAATTCTCAGAAAGCAGTCTTCCTTATCATTTGGTGGGGCAGAGATGGCTCTTGGAAGTCCATACAAGACTGTCACACACACATTCCTGAGGTGCGTCTCAGGTGTGGGGAAGGACTGGGCTGGAGGGGTGCATGCAAGGCTAGAGGAGCAGCAACTGTGGCCTTCCACAGGAGCATCTCACTGTTGCCAGACGTTACCATCCGGGATGGATATTTTTTAAAGACAAGGCTGTAAAGGTTACTGTTTGCCTACGTGGGGGGGCAGCAACTCAGCATCCAGCACATGGCCCTGACCTCTTTCCATGCTGGGTACATACTGGAATGTGAGTGACTGCTTATGAGAGAGTCCACTGTTGTTTCTGGCTCAGCTTCAAAGTGTGTTTGAAATGTTTGTTCTCTGTTTACCCCAGCCACACCCCAGCTTGCTGTGGCTGGGGCTCACTGCTCAGTCCCAGTAGCTGCTTTTCTGCGTTCCCATTTTTCTTGTGAAATGTCCAACTTCCTGTCACTCATCCCTCCCCAGTCGTGATCACCTCGTGAATGGATAAGCTGCTACTATCTGTGTTCTGTACATTTTTTTCCCTAGAGAGTTGTACTGTGCCTGTGGCATTCTAGCACCATATTTATTAGCAATTCTTAGTTGGGGACAAACAATATTATGATTCTCTTTTAAATGATCTAGGAAGGGACCCAAGCCTGGGCTGCTAAGAAATCTAATATTCAGCCAGCTGGCTCATGCTTGTAATCCTAGCACTTTAGGAGGCCGAGGCAGGTAGATCACAAGGTCAGGAGTTCGAGACCAGCCTGGTCAATATGGGGAAACCCCGTCTTTACTAAAAATACAAAAATTAGCCAGGCATGGTGGTGGGGGCTTGTGGTCCCAGCTACCTGGGAGGCTGAGGCAGGAGAATCACTTGAACCTGGGAGGCGGCGAGGTGGAGGTTGCAGTGAGCCAAGACCGTACCACTGCACTCCAGCCTGGTGACAGAGTGAGAGTCCATCTCAAAAAAAAAAGGCGGGGTGCGGTGGCTCATGCCTATAATCCCAGCACTTTGGAAGGCCAAAGTGGGTGGGTCACTTGAGGTCGGGAGTTTGAGACCAGCCTGACCAATAGGAAGAAACCCTGTCTCTACAAAAAAATAAATAAATAAAAAAAATCTAATATCCATAGTGTCTGCTAAATACTCTACTATACACCTCTTTAGATACTTTGGGATCCTGCCGCTACTTATCTGGAATCACATTTCTATGACACATGCTCAGAGGACCTACATTATCCAATGTTTTCATTCACTCCTTTCATAAGAGGTCTCCATGTGGATCTGCATTCAAATGTTAACTGTCATCGCTGCTTTTCTTACTGCCTCCTAACAATATAGCTGGCAAGTAAAGAAAGGATAGTTCTTACCACTGAGATATTTTCCTAGATGTAGTGTTCTGGGCATATGAGGCCTGGAATTTCTGTAACCAACTTTGGCACCATAGAAGAAGCCAGACTAAGGATGCCAGCATAGGTAGGCAGAATCATAGAGAAATGGAGCTGGAGTCTTTGATCAAACCATTCTTGAAGCTTATCATCTTGTAATTTGTTTTCAGTTATACGAGCCAGTTATCTTCACTGTTTAAGCTAGTTTAAGGTAGGTTTTGTCCATTCACCTAATGAGCCTTAACTAATAAGAGAATTCCCAATGTATTTAAGTGTATACATTAAGCTTCCTATCACACCCTTATAAACCCCTTGCCTCCCTTTCTGGCCTTTTCTTTCACTTCCTAACTCTTCACCATGCTGTGATTACATAGATCTTACTCCTTGAATAAGACTACTTTTGCCTTATAACTGCTGCTCCCTCTGCTCTAACAGCTGCTCTGTATCTCAAGACATTTGACTCCTGGGCATTCAAGTCTCAGCTCAAATCCCACCTCTTAGCCTAGGCAACATAGTGAGACACCATCTCTTCCCACCCCCCAAAATATTAGCTGGGTGGTGGTACACACTTGTAGTCCCAGCTACTTGGGAGGCTGAGGCAGGAGTATCGCTTGAGCCCAGGAAGTTGAGGCTGCAGTGAGGTATGACTATGCCATTGCACTCCAGCCTGGCTGACAGAAAAAAAACAAAAAAAAACCCCAAAATCCTATCTTCTCAGGGATGACTTTCTGATTATCTAAGTTATGGTTCCCCAGTGCCCACCCCACATTCCTCCTTGACCAAAATACCTTGTGTTTGTTAGCATTCTTATCACTATTTGCAGTTCTTTATTCACGTGTTGGCTTGTTGATTTGGTTACCTTGACTACAACATAAGACCCACGGGGCAGGGGCATTGCTTGTGTCATTCGTTTCTCTTTCCCGCATGTCTGGCATGGAGAAGCACTCAACAAATATTTGCTGAAATAACACATGGCCTTTTGGATACATGTGCTGTGTATGAGGGTCCCGCCGGAGAGGCCCTCTGGGTAGCGTTTAAGAGCATCTGTCCGTTCCAGTGCATTCTCCTTGGGATTTAGTTGTCTTCTTCCCGTGTTGTGCAGTTGTTTCAGCTACGCTGCCTAGTTCTATTTTTTGTCTCTGCTCTCTCAAGGATCTGTTTTTTCTTTAGGAGGAAACAAGAAAGGGTATTGAGTATGTAGTTGTTAATGCAGAATCTTGAAGGTGGGAGAAAAGAAGATTTGACTTCAAGAATACAAGAGAAATGAGCAGGTGACAATAAGGAGCTGGAGGCAGCCAGGCTGACCTGTGTCTTGAGCTGTCCTACTCACTGTGGTGTATTCAATCAGGGATAAAGCTGTGATACTCCTAGGACTCAGAGGAGGCAGGCATGGTCTTGTCTTAGCAGAGGTCAAAGTACAAGGACTGATCAGAGCAGAGGGTTTTTCTATTTATTACAAAAGTTGTTACACAAATACAGCTGACCAGAAGGTCTAAAAACAGCCCAGACTCTTCCAACCCTCATGCATCTGTAGATATAAGGAGAGCCGTGGTCTTGCTCACACATAGGGGAGCCCTTCTTGGAAGAACTGCCTGTCCCTTGGAAGGTTCGGAGTCTTGGGTCCAGCAGCAGAGAGGAGCCCAACGTGAGTGGACAACCCCTTGAGGCAGCCCTTGGTCACAGCTGCTCTGGGTGGGCAGCAGGTTTAAGTTTCATAGTTCACACGTTCCCACCACATAAGTCAAATCAAGGCATGAAAATAAAAGGGAAAAAGAGAAAGGCTGGAAAAGGGAGACTGGAAGAGGTTGTAAGTTGGGGAAGGAGACACAGTGGGCTTCCGAGGAGCTGGCAACTTCTTGACTTGGATGGAATTACATAGTATTCACTTTAAAATTGTTCTTTAAGTTGTACATACATGTTATATGCTTTTCTGTATGCATGTTAGAACTTTAAATTTTAAAAATGTAAAAAAAAAAAAAAAAAAGAGGCTAAAAGTGAATGGGGCTGATGATGGAACAGAAAATAAATTAAAGAGGAGAGACGATGAAGGAAGAAGACAGCCAAGGTAGAAGACGATGAAGTCCTGGAGGTGGTAATGCTGGCCTCAGTTTCTCTTCTTCTGTCTGGATACTGGTTCTACTTCTAGGTACCGGAGCCCGACTAGCATACCCAGGATGGAGAAACCTTAAATACAGAGAAAAGATTAGTGCCTGACATAAATACAGCACCTTCCTTCTATCTCTCCTGTGTCCACCCTCTGTACTAGCCATAGAGCTGGGGCAGTTCGTGTAGGAGGTCTAGGGTGGTTGGATGCTTACTTGCCACCATCAGGGGTGCCAGGACGCCAATTGTGGGAGCTGCAGTTCCATAGACAAACAACTCAGAGAGGAAGTGCCCCAGGGCGAGGAGGAAGGTCCAGAGTGTGATGTGATAGAGCCTACAAGGAAGCAGACAGAAATGGGAATCAAAGTTACTGTTTGTTCAGAACAGAACAGAGGAAAAGCATCAGACTTGATACATACAAATAAGAACCCAGGATGTGATGAAGGCTTAAAAGAAAGGACACTTGTTCCTGAGGACATGTTGGCCAGGCTGTTCCTGAGGAACAAGTGTCTGATTATTTGATCATACCAATATTCTCATCTAGGGCAAAACTGAAGGTTTCAACTGCTAAACTGAGAGGAAAATGGCTCAGACATCCAGAATGAATTTCCAAGTCTCAGCAAAGTGGTGAACTCAGCTATAGCAAAGCAGAGCCTGAATTATGACAATCCTAGGCAGTATAGACAACTTTGGATCCAGCACGCTTACATATTTTATTTATCTAAATTGGTTGACTCTGCAGTCTAATCCCACCTGGCAGGCATCTGGCCACGCACTTGTCGGTGTTTATATGATGGAAGCCACAGAATGAATGGCCTCATGGGGATTAAGGAGCAAAGACACCTCTGGGGCTTTTAGATGCTCTGGGATTATGCGTTGGTTACTTTGCATCTTAGCCTAGAAAAGTAGTCACACTGAGGACATGGTGATCAATCTCATGGGAAGAGAACTTGGTTTTCAGCTCTGACTATAAGGTAGAGAAGAAACAGGCTACTAGGTGACTGACTACTTCATTTGCTGATATCTTTTATTAAGTATAATTTTTTTTTGAATTATGAAATATTTCAAACATACAAAAATTTACAGAATACTATAATGAACACCAATGCAACCAACACCCAGCTCCATCAAATCTTAACATTTTGACATTTTGTTTCAGAGACTGTTTTCTAAGAAACAAAAAATTACAGAGAAGAGTTAAAGCATCCTGTGTATTCTTATCCTCCTCTGAGCCTGTCTCCCTCATCCCTACAAGTAACTTGTATCTTACATCTGATTTGTATCTCTCCTGTGCGTGTTTTTAGAAATTTTTTTTGTTTTTTTTGAGATTGAGTCTTGCTCTGTCACTCAGGCTGGAGGCATAATCTTGGCTCACTGCAACCTCCGCCTCTCGGGTTCAAGAGATTCTCCTGCCTCGGCTTCCCAGAGTAGCTGGGATTATAGGTGCATGGCATCACACCTGGCTAATTTTTGTATTTTTAGTA